CCTAACAAAAAAAAAAGCCTTACGAGGAGTGGCTGAGGCAGCTGGGGTTGTTTAGTCTGGAGAAAAGGAGGCTGAGGGGAGACCTCATCGCCCTCTACAACTACCTGAAAGGAGGTTGTAGCGAGGCGGGCGTTGGTCTCTTTTCTCCCCAGTAACTGGCAATAGGACAAGAGGAAACGGTCTCAAATTGTGCCAGGGGAGGTTCAGGCTGGACATTAGAAAGAACTTTTAACGACTCTAACAGTGAAGGTATTGGAACGAGCTCCCCAGGGAGGTGGTGGAGTCACCATCCCTGGAGGTGTTCAAAAAACACTTAGATGTGGCACATCAAGACATGGTTTAGTGGGTTTAGCGGGCATGGTGGCATCGGATATATGGTTGGACTTGATGATCTTTGATAATGATTCTATGAAAAAAAACAAACCCAACTTTCCCAGTAATAATAGTGATATGTAATATATAATTTTTCTGCGTCATACTGAGTTGAATATACATTTACCATCCTCTCTTTGAGCAGTTTCAGTAAACGCAGTATAATTCTTTAATAACTGATTTTTCTCCTTTATGTTTTCAGAGGCAACAATTTTAAGCTATGATGGAAGTATGTTTATGAAAATACAGCTCCCTGTTGTGATGCATACGGAGGCTGAAGATGTTTCTTTACGGTTCAGGTCCCAGCGAGCTTATGGCATTTTAATGGCAACTACTTCTAGGGAATCTGCAGATACCCTTCGTTTAGAGTTGGATGCAGGAAGAGTTAAACTAACGGTCAACCTAGGTAACAAACCCTTTCTCCAAGGAATTAATATTTTTCTTTACATTTTTCTTTTTGCTTGCAAACATTTATGAAACAGCCTGTTTTAACATTAAAAGTAAACTGAAGTTATATATAAACACATGTCAATGCAACATTTGCGTATGTACATACACACACAAAATACATGCCCATTATTATACTTTGTTTTCTTTTGCATTTTTGTATTCTTTATATAGTCTTAACATAATCCATCATGATATTTTTGTACTATTGTGTATTCTAAAAAGAGAAGACTAGTTCATCAGTGGTATATTGGGCTAAATTATTAGTCTTTGTTGTGGAAGACTGGTCTCCCTCCACAACTTCTTCACAATAGCAATTCCACAATTTAAATGTGCAAGCAGAAACAACGTGTATCTAGGTCAGTTCAGTTTTACCTCCACCAATTAATGTACAACATGCAAATGTATGAAAGAATTTCTAGTTTTAGCACTGAAAATGTTGCAATTAGATATTCCCACTGATGGATTTCTTGGTCTCCTTTTTTTAGGTGTCAAATCTATAGTAAATCCATCTCCTCTTTTTTAAACAATTCTGTAGCGGTATTTTTGTAGTATCGAACGATAACACAACCCTTCAATGCCCAAAGACTGCGGCCCTCAGCAAACAGCCGTGTGAACACAGGAGGCACAAGCCCTTTTACAGAAAAAAAAAATAAATGAATGAAATTGGTTTCCTGGTTTGAAATACAATGGACAAAATGTTAGGCTATGGTTTTCTCTAGTTTTAAAAAAAAAAAGTAGTAAATAAAAGTGCTTCTGCCGTGCTTATAAGTAAGTCCAAGTCAGGACCTGAAAGAGAACAGAAGTACCCTCAAGAAAATGCACATTCAGTGCAGTCTTTCCTATTCAGTGGAATGCTATTTTTCAAGGGAATTAAATATTTTATTGTTTTAATCACAGATAAAAAAATTTCCGAAAAGCATGGAAAGGGGCAGGGGAAGAATCACGTAACCTTCCACTTCATACAAGTGTTGCTTGCTGCAATACTGTCCTGATGCTTAGATTTGGGAAGGGAGAGGGAGAAGGAGAAGCGAAGGTTTTCCTTGTTTGCTCTTCTCTTGCAGTCCCCTCTAAGTGTCAAGCTGGGGCTCCTGCAGGCGGTGGGGCGCGGGGCGTGGAGCGGAGCCTCCCTCCCATGGCGGCACTTTCTGTAAAAGGGGATGTGCAGGTCCTGGTCCTGGGCTGTTTGCAACCACTTTTCTGATGCGGTTGACGACACATGGCAAACTCAGCTATATGGAAACAAAATCTAGGTTTGATGGTATACATATTCCTCAAAGGTATAACCCAGGAGTAGCTGTACAACCCGAGTAGCTGTACAACCCAAGTAGCTTGGCATAGATATATTTTTTTTTAACAGTAATAAATGCGGATAGGCCAGCAGATGATCCAGATCAGGTTATTCTCTTTATATACAAAACACCATCCTCCGTCAGTTTTTTGCCTAATTCTATAGTTCAAGAAAGTAAATCAATCCATGCGCTAGCAATATTGTTTCTTCTTCCAACATCCCTCTTTTTTTTTTTATTTATTTTTAGTCAAGCAAGGAAATAATCTGAAAACAGACAGGATTCTCTAAATACCAACGTTTATAAATATGTGATTGTTTTCTGTATATTAATGTAGCTTTAAATGTAGTCACTGTTCGTTTCTTAAGTCTATAAGTTAAGAAAATTCAAATCCACAAAATGTTATTTGTAGGCCAGGGTAATGGACTTGGTGTTTTACTACCTAGTTTTTGACAATCAGCCTTTGAGGTATACTATCTGCAAGTTGTCCAAGATGTCTGATTGTGGCCTGGCTTGCTCTATGACCCATTGTGACGGAGCACTTTCTAATTGCATTGAGAGAAATTACCTGTTCTTTCACAGATGGGGAGAAAGTTGCAGCCTGCCTCAGTTAAGCATCTTTGACATTTAATCTTGACTTTTCACTTAGATTTGTCACCATGTAGCTTTGTTTGAAATTGGCCATTTTTACCCTAATTGTCGTTTCTATAAAGATTTATCGCAGTATATCTGGGTTATAACAGTATGTAAAGACTGATGATATTGAGTGGCCATATTTGCATGTGTCTGTCCCCGGAAGGGTGGACTGTGATTTTATTGGATGTCTGCAGCTATTACCTTGAAGGATAAATTTTCATTTTTCATCTATTCTTCCCCATCTAGACTGTATCAGGATTAACTGTAATTCCAGTAAGTGCCTATTCAAACTTCTTAAAATGTTATTCCACCATTATAAAATATGCAAACTAGATGAAAAAGATTGTGGACAGCTTGCAAGCACTTGATAATTTATTAATGAAATGTGATGATTAATTATCGTTGTGTAAAAAGTCATCATATACTCTAGTGTGTATTTTTGGTCCTTCCCATAGGATATAACTTTCAACTAGAATATTAAAAAGAAAGTATTCTACAGGTTACGTACAGAGAGGAGAAACGGTATCTGTAGTACTGTATTATTCTAGATGGGCTAGTTTATTTCCAGTAGCCATAGAATTTTTGAACCAGCACTTCTGATAAGCTGTCATATATTTTCCCCTGCGTCCTCCTAGTTTTCTTGACATTTTACCTCCAACTAGTGGCGAGACTGTTGGAACATAATTGTCCGTAGTACAAGACTTTCTATTTTATAATCCTCCTAGACAATTAACTGTATTTGGCTGCTTATAGCACAATTGGTTTAGCTAAATCTTTGTTTTATGGAAATGTAATACATTACAACAAGGACGTTATTAAGTCTGAGAATAACCATATTTCTATGATGATTTTTTACACTCTAATCATGTAAGAAACCTTAAATTGAACAATTTTTCTCTGTGATATGCGTGTTTATGAAACAGAGGGAAACATTTGCCAGATGAATGGACTAAATTTTAACTTCTCTGATATTATTTGGATTAAGAGGCTATATTCTGAAAGGAGAAAAAGGACTGTGATTTTATTTTGAGTCTATGGAATTCCTGAATGGTGTCAACAAAAGTATTGATAGTAAGTATGGTAGATTTGAGTTATGGATTGTTTTTTCTTTCCCTTCCTAACAGGTTTTGCAAGCCAGAGGACTGGCTTTATGCAAACAGAAACAAAACTAAACAACAAACTGCATAGGTAGAATTTGTAGCTCGTAATAGTTTCCCGAAAGATGTTAACATACATCCCATAATAGCTTTATAGTCCCCAAAGAAAAATAGGGAACTGCACTTGTTTATCATGCATTGTCTGCTAATAGATTTTTCAATAAACAACTTTACAAGACAAAAATACAACATTTTAATTAAAAAGCAAGGTTTTCTTGGGGCAAGTTTTTAATCTAAACCATACTTAAATCCAGACTGACTTTTCACTACAGTAAAGGAAGTGCTTGTAGGTACCAAGGCATTAAAGGATAGCTTCCTGATATTAAAAAAAAAAAAAAAAAAATCAGTTATAAAAACAAATATTTCCACTTGATGAAAGTGCCCCTTGTCTGTAACCAAAATGTATAAAAGCATGAAAAATCTCAAACATTTTGTTGGTCTGTCACAGAACACTATTTTTGTTTCCTCCTGACAAAGTCTCAATTCAAAAAAGATTTCCAAGTATAAGACAAGCAGCTTTTTGAGCAGAAATGTAATGAGTCTGCCTGCTGCTGGTAAATTCCTTTTTCCCTAGGAAAAGCAATATTACTTTTTTTCTTAATTTCTTTACTAAAATTAGAAAATCTCTCTGAAAAGGGAATTATTAATGCAGAAAAATCAATAACAAAGCCACAATACAATAGATGTTTTGGCTCTTTAATCTCTTTTGGATAAAATGAGGTGTCATAAAAATAAATTAAAATGATTTCTAAGTTTTTAAGCAAGTTTTGGATCAAAAGAGAACCTGCAAATATAAAGTAATAAGTCTCCAATCAGAGGATTGTAAACAGGAGAAATATATGTACTGAATTGAATTAACAGTTACGAGTTCTTCTTGGTCTCATACAAAAGCGGAATAACCTCTGTACAAAATATCCTTGGTTTCGAATACTCATAAGTTATTTTTCTTTACAGTTCATTTGTAGCCTTTTTGTTATTAGCAATGAACTCTCATGATTAGTTCCATCTCCCTTTGGTGCCTGTGTACTGAACAGGTTTTTGTGAGCTTTTGGTACGGTAAGTACTACAATGCTTTCTTATCAGCACTCACTGTAGTCTTTCAACAACCAGATAACGTTTCATGAGCAATTTCTGCATGTTAATTTTTAGATTATGAAGAATTATTGCTCTAAGTCCTTAGAAAATGCTTGCTTATTAGACATTATAATGGATTTTAGTGGAACATAAACAATTAATTCCAAAGCAACAGCATCCAGAACTTCAGTCTTAACTTGCTAAACACTGTTCAATGCCTACCTTTTGGGGTCTACTAAGAGCTGGGTGTATATTAATCCTGACTTTATGCTGATAGAAGTAAATCTGATTTTCTCATTTCTGTTGTTTAGAAATTACTCATCTTAATATAATTTCACTGTTGGGGCTGAAATACTATTTATTATAGCTAGACTAGTAACAGAGTTAAGGTCAGGATGAAGCTGGCTGGTTTGAATTTGGAGAGACAGCTTTAAAAAAAAAGTAAACCCAAACATAAACAAAAGCTGGTGTTTTGCTTGAGACAAAAGGAAAATATGAATGTAAGCACCTTATTTCTTGCAGTGAATTACAAACCTAGTGAATAAAATATTGCTGCTCCTCCTCCTGTTTTTCCCTTGAGTGCAGCCTGAAACCTGTCTTCTGCTCACTGCAGATCAGATGGCCAAGTGTTGGCTGCTCAGAGCCAAGATCTTGGTAACAATTTGTTCTACACTTTGTCATGCTTTCACTTCTAGCTAATGTCCTGTGTTGCAGAAGAGGTGGCATTTTGTGGTCTTCCTTGTTTGAAATACAGACTTCTTTAAAATTTCAAAATGTTCATCAGATGTCAGGTTGCTACTGAGCTTATGTCTCATTAACAATATTATGGAGACTGTTCGCTTCATGCCATTTTTATGGAACTGAGTTGTGTACTAAGGTCAAACTTTTTATTTGATGCTAGGTTAGAAGATTTGTGTCTTTATAAAATCTTGCACCACCAGAAATTCTGTCTGGTGTCAATCAGAAAATACTATTGCTGACATGTTGTTTTTGTACACCCTTAAATCACTTCATTGTGTTCTTCAGACCTGCAAGTTTACAAAACAAAATTGTGTGTCAGGGAGTGAAATAAATAGTCCTTTTAAACTGCAGGTACATTTAGGTCAATGTTGAGGCTGATATCAGGAGAAAGGGAAAAACTTATGTTGTGAACAGAAACAGTTACTATGGTTTCAGTATTAGTTTTCATAGATTGAGGAATTAATTTAAAAATAAGACTGAGGTGAACAATGTTGGTTCAAATAACACAACTGTGCAGCATTTCTGGACACTAGTTGTTCTGTAAAAAGTACTGTAAGTTGATTGGTATACAGCTTTTACACATTATACACAAAATTGATGAGCTAATCCTTAAAAATTGCCTAAGGAGAAATGCTAAAAAAATAAATACATTTCTTTCAGAGAGGGAAGTAATTGTTATCTGTTAATTGCAGACTTTAAAGCATGAATTATAAACATCAGTGAATCCTGTTGAACTGAATGGGATTTCTCTCCAGTATTTCTTAGAGACAGAACTTCATCCAATAAATGTTAAATAACAGATCAATAACAGGTTTTGAATGACTTGTGAAGAAATACAGGTGTGCTATATTTCCATATTTTTCACTGCTGCCATGTTAAGGGCTACTATCTTAACTTAATTTTAAATTCCCATTTTTCCAGTTTTAGTGCATTCAAAACATTAGCATCTGAAAAATTCCAGGTACCTGTAACTTTAGAGGCTGCTGGGTTTTATGTGCAATATACTTTTTTCACAGGCACGTGCTGCAGATTTACATGTTACTTCATCTTTTGTGAGTTTTTTTCATTGCTATAATTTCTGAAAATAAATTGTCTACATTTTTATATGAGTCAGCAGAGTAGGACCATAGGATTTTTATTAATTGATACATTATACAAATAATAATGTTAACTGGTAAATACCTAGCTCTCATTTCTGAGTCTGATATTTTTGTTCAATATGAAAAGATACAGGATAAATATTCTTTGAATGCTACTGTGAAAGCTTGCTCAACTAGTGGCACACACTGGTGCAGGAGTGATTTAGGTCAGTTCTGGTACACAGTTTTGCTTCTATAGGCAATAATTCATTGAGTAATCCCACTGAATTCAGTTATACTCAAATGTAGGACTGTCATAAGAAATAACAATTACAGAATGGTAGGAGGCAGGGAGCAGAGGGTACTGTGGCAGTACATGTATATGCTATTCCCCGGGGAGCGTATCAGCTGGCTTTGCTAGTTGGGTGTCCATCTTTCCAAATTAGCAACAATTTCCCAGGCTTTGAGGCTTTTCTGTTTGTCCTTCCAGTGAAGTGCCCTTTCCCTTGTATTCACATGCACCCCTGCTTCTGTGTCTACCTAGTTCTTGACCTATTCTCTATATCCTTATTTTTTCTTTCACTTTTTCTCACTCTGTTTCGTGTGTCTATTTTTTCCCATAATTCTTGATCTTTTTTCCTTGCTTTGTATGTCCGTCCTTTTAAAACTCTGCAATTCTGCAGATGTGCACATTACAGATGGTGAAATTATTCTATTTGGAATATGTAACATCTGTTACTGAAGCATTTTTTTCTTGTCAAGGTATCCTGCAAATCCAGAGCATGACAAGGAGCTATGTCAGATTATTAGTAAATAACAGGAGAATTATATGTAGTGAAGAACTAACAATGGTGTTCAATTACAGTATATTTTCAGCATCAGGAAAGTTTAAATGAAGACTACACATCCTTTTGAAAGTTACTGCTTGTAAAAATGCATTTTGTTGCAAAGTTCAAAGTCTTCAACTGTGCTTTTACGGATATTGCAAAAATCTACTGTGATAAGCAAATCATTAATACATTTCCATGTATCAACTTCTCACTATCTGGTGAAAAGAATGATTAGAATTTATTTCCTCCTTTGTTGTTGCTGTTTGCAGTAGAAAATCCTTAAAATGACATGATATTATAGCTCCCTTCCCCAAACTGTAAAGATTTTTGTATTTGGCCTGCTCTCTTACACAGTGCCTTCTGAATTGCGTGAGGTGGTTTTGAACTTTTTT